GAGCGTTTGCGCTGTTTACTTTCACTTTCGATTTCACGATCACGCGCACTCTGTGTAAAGAGAGCACATCTTACAAGATCAGATATTTGTCAATGAGCTCAGGATCTACTGATCAGCAAATACTCCAGCATGGTCTTGTCAGTCATCACTTTTTATTCTCGACCTGTGATCAGTCAAAGCTGACTCCGGTAGCTCTTGTTGGATGACTAACGCTACTTCTAATTTTATTTGCTTGTTTTTTTTAATTAAAAAAAAAACTTTACCCTCTAACATTTGCACTCTCTATTCTATTTCTATTCTAATGGCCAATCCATCATTTTTGGGGGGATTTTTTATTTATTTATTTTTTAATAAGTATCGGTTCAGGCACCGGAACCGTTTTAAAAGTATCGATTTGGCACCGGTATCGAAAAAAACCCAAAAGATACCCAACCCTAGGGACCCGCGCTATATATTTTTTTGACTGCCCACTCCCGCCCACAGTAAAGGTAAAACTGCCCGCTCCCGTGGGATTTGTGTTCCGTGGGATCCAATCCCAATGCAGCCCTCTAGCGCAGACCACAACACGTATCAGATCCAATTAGACTGTGGCTGTCATAAGCTGTCAAATGTGGCTTTACCAAGTCCAACCAAAGCCTCTGGCCAAGCTGTCATGTAATCTAAACACGATTGGCAATTTAAAAAAAAAAGGGTGGAGCTGCTCTATATTTCGCCCCATCTTCCTTGTTTCAGTTGAAATTTCATCAGCACATTGAATAACGTGGCGCATTTCAAGGCACTTCAGTGGACCTTTACATTTGTGAAATATTAACTTACAATATCAGAGGGACTTCAAGTAGTTCAGCTGACAAACAAGGTTTGTGAATCTCTTCAACGAGCATCTGAACAGAATTTAAAGTTTCCATCTGTCCCAGTAATATAATTTGATTAAAAAAAGAGATTTTAATAGCATTACAATGACGGTATTATCTGGATCTGGATCAGACATCGGCTGCGGCTGGTACTCACCATGCCTCCTGGTGGCTTCCTGCGGTGTTGAGGCTCTTGATGATGGCCAGGCTGTCTGAGGTCATCTTCACAGCGTCGTATCGAACAAGAGCACAGCAGCGAGAAAAACTCCGATCTCCAGCCTGCTGGATGCCCACCGTCAGCTGTTTGGCCACCCGCCCGTTCTGTAGACAAAACAACACAGAAGCATCACATATGAAGAGAAGAAACACATCGCATCATGCGGTATTAGTGATTCACGATTCACTGGATGAACCACTTCACCAAATCGGACGAGCTTTTTGCGGCTCGAGCAGCACAGATCTAAAAGCTACTCAATCAAAACTCACATTCAGATGCCTAAAAGCCACTCCAACTTGAAATGAGACAAAAAAGGGGCGTATCTGATTCTATGATGAATGAACTCATTCAGTGCTCCAGTTTGACAATAAAAAATTGTTGACAAATATTTTTGTTATCGAACTGACGTTTGATCACATATGACCTAATGTAAGGACCTGCAATAACAGTGTTTGACCAGTGGGGTGCTGTAGAGCAAGACTGTAATTCAGCTCTCCTGGCTACAATCCAATAGAAGATGACACACGCGGTGCTTATGTAAACGCAGCCGAACCAGACGGAAGTAGAGGAAGATGTAAATATGAGCTTTCTTCTTACCTCTCAATAATGAAATAAACACACAACAAAAATGACAGCGGTGAGAAAACAGCAGTTAAGAAAGCTTCTGATCATAGCGATCATCTCATTTTGCATGGCAAATATATTTATATGTATTGTTTTTAAAAAATTATAATAATTGTAGTTGTACAATATATATATTCAAAAGCTCTGAATGAGTCTCAGTCAATCAGAACTATTTATTTGTTTTATAAAACAGCATTACTTCAGCGATAAAGGACTCACCATATCTCGGTCTTTGTTCAGTCTTTCCTGTAACTCGAGGGCCAACTGATGAAGCCAGTGCTGCACCTGCACAAGAGAGCGAGTTACACCAGAGCACAAGCATCTGTGTTGACACCAATCTCACTTCCCCATGTACCTGCTTTTGTGTAGCCAAACAGGTTTTTCCTGGAAAGTTCTTGCTGCAGCCGATGGATTTGGGAAGCTGTCGAGGCTTCACGGGCTCAAACTCGATCCCTCGGCACAAGTCGTACAGCCACGGCCTGAGGAACAGAGATGAGATAGAGTGTAACTGGAAAAAGATATATATACTACAGAACTTTCTGTGACTTTTTAAGACTGTATTGATTTTGATGAATCTCTTTCAGACATCTCTTCCGTCAGCAGGTTTTTCTGAACGGCGCTTCTCACCCAGTCTTCTCTCCAAAGTGCTGCTCCAGCTGGACCTTGCTGAACTGAGTGAGATCTCCGATGTTTTCCACCCCCAGAGTCTCCTTGACGGACGTCCCCAGCTTCCCTCCCAGATTACGACTGAAGAGCAACCACACAAGCATTTACGGCCCATCTACGAGAATTATAATATCATAGTACAGGTGATCCACTTACATTTTCCTGATGGGAAGGGTGCTGAAGAGTTCTGGAACGGATCCCAGTGGCAAAACTGTTTGGTGATTGGGCTTGTTTAAACCACATGCTAGTTTGGCTAATACCTACGAAAAAATACAGTTTTGATCGACTAGTCTTGAAGATGCTTTCCTCTCATTCATGTGAAGGTTTGATTCATGTTGCATTCTGGGACGCACTAGCGTTTGCCTGTGGTCATGTGTGTTTCGTGCTACCACTAAACGCCGTTTCAGTGATTGTAAACAATGTAACGTCACATTTATCTCAGAAAAGACATTCTATGAAGAAATTAAAAATGCATCTTTGAATAAATCTCTCATGAAAAGAAGTTATGACAGTCAGTCACCATTTAAATGTTAAATATATTTCAACAAGAAGTAGAGTATAATTATATCATAACATACTGTATAAGAACTACTTTATGTACAATTTAAATGTTTTTATAAAACGGATAGTTCCGGTCCTTGATTCTGATTGGTTGAGCCGCGTTCGAAGCTGTTGTAAATTACTCTACAAACACACACCTTTGTTTACTTCTGTGTTGCTCGGCAACCACTTTGTTGGAACCACAACTGTTTCTGAGGAACTACATTGTTTGGTGGAAGAATACTGTTTTTATTAATATCATTACACTTTATTTGCTCTGTTTTATTTTGTGAAACCTTACTACGTATATGGAATAACCGCTTTTAGGGATGTTAATTTCGGTTATTTTTCCTAAACGACAACCGACGCTCGTTAACCGATTGTTAACCGCTAACCGACAAGATTATTTTAAATTAGAATTGAATTCAATTAAGAAACATATTTTTACTTAAATAATAAATAAAAAAAATGAAAGAAAAACTGTAACAAGTAGCCTAGTATGCAGTTTCGGTTCATTTTTGTGCTGCGTGAAAGGAAACAGTAGAAAGCGGCATCCTATTTTTCTTTAGGTTTATTTTACAAAAGCACAAAGATTTGTTTAGGGATGTTAATTTCGGTTATTTTTCCTAAACGACAACCGACGCTCGTTAACCGATTGTTAACCGCTAACCGACAAGATTATTTTAAATTAGAATTGAATTCAATTAGAAAGGATAAGTGTCTGTGACCCATTAAAAATACTAACATTTGTTTCCCGGG